AAAAAAAAAAAAAAAAAAAAAAAAAAAAAAAAAAAAAAAAAAAATTAAAAAATAAAAAAATATGTAAGTTTAACTAATAAAATTGCATCTGATGAACAACTTTTCGTGCTTCACAATTCTTGCCAATGGAAAATGCTGAAGGTATACTATAAGAAAACAAGTAAATATATATAGTTTACGAGAATTGACACATATGCATAGGCTTCGTATAAGTTAAGCTGCCTGTCGTATGCCTGTTACATACCCTTGAAACGAACTATAATACCCTCTTTAATATTTTGTTCCTTTGGGTAGAACACTGCTTTTTTATTACCAATAAATCGAAGTCATAAAAACTGTTATTAAAATTTATCATTTCACTTTTAAGATAAAACAATATCGTAACTAATAACGGCGTATACCGAACCTGTAAAAGTCAGTTCTCAATTGTAAAGCGAACCGTGAAGATATATTAGCGAATCATTATGGGGAACACGGAAAAGCTGGTAAGCGTTAAATAACAGGTTTATTTTTGTAATCTCAACAGAACTCTTATAATTTGCTATACATATATGATAAACAAGCTACTTATCGAATCCGCTGAGTCTTGTCTGTTGACCAAGGACAAGTCTAGTTTTAAGGTACCTTGGTACTTCGCAACTGGATTCCTACTGTTCTGGGGACTGCTCTTTTTTGCCATCGTAATTCCATTTTTCAATCGCTTACCCACGGCTCGTACACTGGATGACGCTGACAAACATGTCTTCATTGCCGAGCGAGCGTACAAAAATCTATATACCCTATCGAATATTGGCACCAAATTAGTCGGCAGCAAGGAGAACGAAATCGAAGCAGTGCAATTTCTTCTCAATGAACTTGCAGACATCAAGGAAGCCTCGCTTAAGGACTATTTCGATATGGAAATAGATTTATCACAAGCCTCAGGATCTTTTCCATATAAAACTGCGCTGAATGTCTACCAAGGTGTTCAAAATATTGCAGTCAAACTGACTCCAAAGAACTGCACGTCTGAGACGTACCTCCTCGTCAACAGCCACTTCGACTCGAAGCCTTTCACTCCGTCTGCCGGCGATGCAGGATTCATGATAGTCACAATGTTGGAGGTTTTACGTGTGATAGCAACGACAAGGGAAACCTTCCAGCATCCGATTGTCTTCTTATTTAATGGAGCCGAAGAAGACATGATGCAAGCATCGCACGGATTTATTACGCAACACAAATGGGCTCCAAAGTGCAAGTAAGCTATGCCAATTATATATTTCGAACAAAATGCTCATATTATTATCATAGGGCTGTTATTAATCTTGAAGGCGTTGGTGGCGGAGGCCGAGAAATTCTATTTCAGAGCGGACCCAATCATTCGTGGCTTTTAAATGTAAGTTTCAGAAAGCAAGAAAGTTATTAAATTCGTAATATTATTTTCCTTTTATTAACAGTACTACAATAACTACATTAAATATCCTTTCGCAACGAGTTTTGCGGAGGAAATCTTCCAATCTGGCATTATACCGTCGGATTCAGACTTTACTCAATTTAGAGAATATGGCAAAATTCCCGGTAGGTACTCATTTTAAAGAGCGCTACACAAATTTTGTATTAATTCTGTCATTAATCACAGGTTTGGATATGGCACAAATGAGCAATGGATACGTCTATCATACAAAATATGACGTCATCGATGTGATACCTCGCGATGCCTTGCAGAACTCTGGAGACAATGTACTTAGCTTAGTAAAAGGCCTGGCCAATGCAATAGAATTACAGGATACCAAGGTACTTTTACTATAAGCTTACGCACAAATCCATAATGAAGTTAATATTCAAATATCTCATTTTATAGGATCACACGGGGGAATCCGCTGTCTTTTTCGATTTCCTGGGACTCTACTTCATCCATTATTCAAAGACCACAGGAATATTCCTAAACATTGGTGTTGCGGCAGCTGCATTTATTCTGATTTTTATTTCAATGTGGCGCATGGCAGCCGTTTCTCAAGTTTCGATTTGCCACGTGGCATGCTGGTTCACATTGGTGCTTATCATCCAGGTTATTTCTTTTGTGCTCGGACTAGTCCTCCCGGTTATTGTATCACATGTAATGGATAGTTTTGGATTATCGCTAGCATTCTATAGTACACCGATACTGGAGATCGGTTTATATGTATGCCCCTCACTCATTGGCCTGAGCTTACCCATCGCAATCTATTATGCTCTACAAGGAAATGTAAGTTGTCAAATAAATTCCGTGTTTGATTAATGAAGTCATCTGCCATTCACAGAAAATCATCTCTACCGGCTATCATGTACAACTGGCATTACATGCTCAGGCCGTCATCCTGGCTATTCTAGTCATTTGTCTCACGGCATTTGGAGTGCGTTCAGCATATATTCTTTTGATTCCGCTAATATTCTACATATTATCCTTGGCCTTTAACTTATTGACGACTCTACACGATCGTGGCTACGCCTGGGCAGGACTTCTTAAAGCCAGCCAGATAATTCCTTTCCTGCACAGCAGCTATATCGTTTATGTTCTGATTGTAATTCTTACTCCAGTTTGTGCTCGATCAGGAAGTGCTTCTAATAAAGACTTGCCCGTAGCTGTCTTGGTAGCAGCAGGAACGGTTCTTTCCTTTGGTTTCTTGGTGAGTCATTTCATTTATATAATTATATAGGCGCTATAACTTTATTTACAGGTGTCGCTTATCAATACTTTCCGACGTCCAAGCTTAGTGGTATTCTCTCTGCTGGCGATCTCAGCTCTTTCAATATACCTAGCAAGTAGCACACAGATCGGTTTTCCATTTCGACCAAAGACCAGCGGTCAGCGTGTGGCCTATCTGGTAAGTAGATTATTCAAACAGTTCTTTTATGTTTACTATATTTATTTGATATTTTATAATCAGCAAGTACGGAATAAGTTCTATGAGTATGACGGAACCCTCAGCAAGGACGAATCGGGGTACTTGTTCAATTTCCAAGATCGTCGCAAAGAATCTACGTTTGTAGAAGCAAATGTTAATCTGACTGGCCTGTACAGCATCAAATCGAAATGCGAGAAGCAAATGATGTGTGGCATGCCTTTGTATGACTATCGCTATGTTCTGAATCGACTTGAGAGCAAATTTCTGCCACGTACCAATCCCATCGAACCACCAGCAGAAACAAAATTGGAGTTGATAAGCAAAACGGTACAAAATCCAACAACCGTTCGATATGAGTTCAACTTAACAGGACCTTCCCACATGAGTTTGTTTATCCAAGCCTACGAAGACGTTGAGATAAGCAACTGGTCATTCTTACGTAGTTATCTGGATAATCCCCCACCGTATCCATTGTCATATCACATATATTTCGTTTACGGCATTGATAACTCTCCGCTCAACTTCTTTTTGGAGTTCACTGTAAGTTCGCTCTTCAGATAGATTTTTTCAGTTTAACTTTGACTTGATTGATTTTTATATTTATAGAAGCCAGATGGAGATTTCGAAGTACCGGTATTCCAGCTGGGAGTTTCTGGCCATTATATTGAATTAGAAGGTGATGCTGAAAGCCAGGAATTCGCATCGACGTTCCCATCCTACGGAATTCTAGCGACATGGCCTGTACTCTACCAACGATTTATTTTTTAATAATATTTTATAAATAAATATTTTTTGAAATATCTGGTATACCAACGATACAAAGTAAATAAGGTTTAACATCATTTATTTATCTATGCGTATAATTTTTCGGACTCTGATCAACCGGCGTCCGATTCGCAACATAAATATCTACTATGCTTGATGGTCATTGCATTGCAACAATAATAGGAATCGGTAATTAACACACCTAAATTATTTGATATTTGTTGATATCGAGACATCGTTAAATAATAAATATAAATTCGACTGCTCATAATAATCATTTTATAACCAAATAAACATAAACAAATCGATTAATATCCATGTACCTCAACATACGAGAATTTGATATTTTTAACAAAAGCTATCCTTGATAAAACTTATTGGAACACTGCAGCCCAAATTTAATCACACTCAAATAAAAATTATGTATCAAATAAATTTTTAAATTATAGAACTGAGAAACTGTATTAAATAAGAAAAGAAAATTGAATTTTATTATTTTTAGAGAATTTTAGCGAACTCAATATAATTTACTAAAGTTCGTTGTTTTTTACTTGTGGCTAAAAGGCAGGGATTCGGCGGTCTGTGTTTTATATTCACAGCTTTATGACTTTTTACGATTTCATACTTTCGATAAGATTTCTATGCACTATAAAAGACTTTTAGATTTCGTATATACTACTTAGTTCCTATTTAGAATACTTTGGCTTCAGTCAAGTCAACTGCTACAAATCTGTGCTCGGACTTACAGGCAAAATGAAATCTAACTTTAAGGTGCCTTGGCAATTAGCATGTGGATATCTGTTATTCTGGATTATACTGTTCTTCGCTGTTGTAATTCCTCTGTTCTATCGCTTACCCACGGCACTCACAATGGAGGACGCTGAGAAAAATGAGTTCGTTGCTGAACGTGCTTACAAGAACCTTTATACTCTGTCAAATATTGGCAACAAAATAGTTGGAAGTAAAGAAAATGAAATTGAGGCTGTCGAGTTCCTGCTGAAAGAACTCAATCAAGTGAAAGAAGAATCACTGAAAGAACTATTCGATATAGAAATTTACCTATCACGAATCTCAGGCGTATTTGAGAGAAACAGTGCTATATCTGCATATCAAGGACTTCAAAATATTGCCGTTAAGCTCACCCCCAAGAGCAGCACGAGCAAATCCTATCTTCTAGTTAATAGTCACTTCGATACTCTGCCAGGTGCTGGTGCGGGCGATGCTGGATTTATGATCGTCACAATGTTGGAAGTTTTCCGTGTTTTGGCAAACACAAATCAATCCTTTGAGCATCCTATCGTCTTTCTGTTCAACGGAGCTGAGGAGACCGGTCTGCAAGCCTCACATGCATTCATAACCCAACACAAATGGGCGCCATTCTGCAAGTAAGTCTCAGAACGAAACAATCGAATTAAGTGCTTTAAGCCAAACTCTCTACTCCCAGAGCTGTAGTTAATCTTGATGCTGCTGGCAGTGGAGGTCGCGAAATTCTCTTTCAGAGTGGGCCCAACCACCCATGGCTAATGGCTGTGAGTTATGTCGGATGCATTTGCAGTCACATATCTTTTAATTTGCTCATATAATTTACAGTACTATAAAAAGTATATAAAGCACCCACTTGCTACGACTTTGGCTGAGGAAATCTTCCAGTTAGGACTCATTCCATCTGATACTGACTTTCGACAGTTCAGAACATTTGGCAACATTCCAGGTGAGCGCAGGTAAAGGACAACTTACCGGCTATAAAACATGTGGCTATATACAGGTTTGGACATGGCTCAGTGTATTAATGGATTTGTGTACCATACCAAGTACGATCTTATCGATGTGATTCCCCGCGAATCCCTTCAAAATACTGGCGATAACCTTCTCAGTTTGGTCAGAGGTTTGGCCAATGCAGCCGAATTACACAATACCGAGGTAAGGCTTGACCACGCACAGCTTCCAGCAACGTCAAATTAATACAAGCTATTTTCATCTCAGGCATACAACACTGGTCACACTGTGTTCTTCGACTTCCTTGGCCTGTACTTTATCCATTACACGGAGACCACAGGAATATTCCTAAACATTGGTGTTGCGGCAGCTGTCTTTATACTTATTTATATTTCACTGTGGCGCATGGCAGCCGTGTCTCAAGTTTCCTTGGGCCACGTGGCATGCTGGTTCACATTGGTGCTTATCATTCAGGTTATTTCCTTTGTACTCGGACTGGCTTTTCCCGTAATTGTCGCATATGTAATGGATAACTTAGGGTTATCATTAACATACTACAGTACGCCGATGCTGGTGATCGGGTTATATGTATGCCCCTCACTAATTGGCCTCAGTTTGCCCATCACAATCTTCTATGCTCTACAGGGGAATGTAAGCTGTTAATCCATATTATTATTCTTACATTCAACTCAATCTTCCCTTCACAGAAAAGTATTTCTACAGGCTATCAGGTGCAACTGGCCCTGCATAGCCAGGCCCTTATCCTGGCTCTTCTAGTCGTTGGCCTCACAGCATTTGGATTGCGTTCAACATATATTTTTACAATTCCTCTAGTTTTCTATGTGATACCCTTGGCTGTTAACTTATTGACTACCTTGCATGATCGAGGCTATGCTTGGGTGGCTCTGCATAAACTGAGCCAAATAATTCCCTTCCTGTATAGCAGCTACCTCTTTTATATATTCATTGTGGTAATGACACCAATGGGGGGACGTGCAGGCAGTGGTTCCAATCGGGACTTGTTTATTGCTGTCTTGGCAGCAGCAGGAGCAATTCTTTCATGTGGTTTATTGGTAAATTAGTTTACTATTATCATATTATTCCCAGACTTCTCTAATCGGTCTTATCTACTACAGATCCCGCTTATCAACACCTTCCGTCGACCTAGTTGCGTGGTATTCTCTCTTGTGGTAATCACCGCGCTTTCCATGTACTTGGCCAGCAGCACAAAAATCGGTTTCCCGTATCGGCCAAAGACCAATGTTCAGCGTTTAGAGTACCTTGTAAGTTCCTTGAGAGTAAAGTAACTCTGATTAATTACGATAATGAGTGCCATTGCAGCAAGTTCGCAACGTGTTCTACGAATATGACGGAACTCTCAGTAAAGACGAATCTGGATATCTTTTCAATTTCGCGGATCGACTTGTAGAAAAGCCACTCCTAGGAACGAGCGTTAATCTGACGGGCTTGGTCAGCATTACATCGAGGTGCAATGCCCACATGTTTTGCGGAATGCCTTTGTACGACTTACGCTTCGTGCGGAATCAAATATACAACAAATGGTTGCCGCGGTCTGAACCCATAATAATGCCAAATATAACGAAACTAGAAGTTCTCCGTAAAGTTGTGGTGAACTCAACAACGGTACGCATTCAGTTCATTCTGTCAGGGCCCCCCACTATGAGGCTTTTCATTCAGCCCTATGAAGATGTAACCATCAGCAATTGGTCATTCGTACACAGTTTCCTTGAAAAGAGTCCTCCATACCTAATATTCCTTAACTACGGCATCGATAGCACATCATACAGCTTTTACTTGGAGTGCTCGGTGAGCTGAGTCCTGAAAATTAATATATTTTATTATCCATCTAATCACATATTAAAATCCATAGAAAGCAAATGGCGGTTTCAACGTTCCACTGCTCCAGCTCGGAGTTTCGGGCCATTTCATCGGAGATACGAGCGATAAACTAAATACGAAGTTTGCATCGACATTCCCGTCGTTTACTGCAGTGGACACTTGGCCAGCAATATATCAACGATATATATTTTAGCTTTAATTCGCGATTCAGTTAACTTTGATAATGTAATTAAAGCGGTTCGTCAATAACAGATTTTATATGACAAATAAAATAATAAAGTCTATTTCCATTTAAGAGTTTATTGATTTATTACAAAAATGTGCGATTTTTTATTTATACTCGATTTAATGTTTCTATTGCCTTTTCAGCAAAGTAGTATCAGTAAAGATCGCGTTTCTCCGATAATGAATTGGCATCATAAAAATGATTATTTAAATTGATTTTATACAATATACATCAGATAACACTGCTCAAATCCTATAAATACCGCCAAAACTAAACTTGACTAATTCAGTTCTCATATGGAGGACTATCGTTTCACATCAGCAGAGACTCGATCAGCAATCAGTATGGGGGACAAGGAAAAACTGGTAACATATGAAAACAGTTTCCTCGCTAAAAACATTACTTTATATCTTCTTCTTACTTAAGCTAATTTTCGAGTCCGAAGAGACTGGCGACAAGGTGTTGGCCAACATGAAGTCTACTTCCAAGATACCTTGGTACTTTGCCACTGGATTCTTATTCTTCTGGGGACTTCTCTTTTTTGCCATCGTAATTCCGTTTTTCAATCGCTTACCCACGGCTCGTACACTGGACGACGCTGACAAACATGTCTTCATTGCCGAGCGAGCGTACAAAAATCTATACACCCTATCGAATATTGGTTACAAACTGACTGGCAGCAAGGAGAACGAAATCGAAGCAGTGCAATTTCTTCTCAATGAGCTCGCAGACATCAAGGAAGCTTCGCTCAAAGACCTTTTTGATATGGAAATAGATTTATCACAAGCCTCAGGATCCTATCCATATAAAAATTTGTTGAATATGTATCAAGGTGTTCAAAATATTGCAGTCAAACTGACTCCAAAGAACTGCACAGCTGAGACGTACCTCCTCGTCAACAGCCACTTCGACTCGAAGCCTTTCACTCCGTCTGCCGGCGATGCAGGATTCATGATAGTCACAATGTTGGAGGTTTTACGTGTGATAGCAACGACAAGGGAAACCTTCCAGCATCCGATTGTCTTCTTATTTAATGGAGCCGAAGAAGACATGATGCAAGCATCGCACGGATTTATTACGCAACACAAATGGGCTCCAAAGTGCAAGTAAGCTATGCCAATTAAATATTTTGAAGAAAATGCTCATTTTATAATCGTAGGGCTGTTATTAATCTTGAAGGCGTTGGTGGCGGTGGTCGAGAAGTTCTATTTCAAAGCGGACCCAACCATTCGTGGCTTTTAAATGTAAGTTTATAAAAACAAAATCTGATTATAATAATACTTACATTTGTTTGCCATTTAACAGTACTACAAAAAATACGTAAAATATCCTTTTGCAACTGTTGTTGCCGAGGAAATCTTCCAATCTGGCGTTATACCATCGGATTCAGACTTCACTCAATTCAGAAAATATGGCAACATTCCAGGTGATTACTACTTACAAACACTATTCAAATGCTAAAATAAATCTATGTTTATTTAAATTTAATCTTTAATAATAGGTTTGGATATAATTCAACTTACAAATGGATATATCTACCACACAATTTACGACGTGATCGATGAGATTCCTCGTGAAGCCTTACAAAACTCAGGAGATAACATACTTAGCTTAGTTCGAGGCTTCGCCAATGCAACAGAGTTACACAATACAAAGGTATTCTTCTACATTTTTGCGGATATATTGATAAAATGCTGATGATGCTTCACTTAATATATTTCATAGGCGCACATGGATGGAAACTCTGTCTTCTTTGACTTCTTGGGTCTTTGCTTCATTCATTACTCAGAGAAAACAGGAATATTCTTAAACTTTGGCGCCGCAGCAGCTGCGTTCATTCTAATTTACATTTCAATGTGGCGGATGGCAGCTGTTTCTCAAGTTTCCTTCTGTCACGTAGCATGCTGGTTCACATTGGTCTTTATCATCCAGGTTGTTTCCTTTGTACTTGGACTTGCACTTCCATTAATTGTCGCATATGTAATGGACATGTTTGGACAATCGTTGACCCACTACAGCACAACTTTGTTGTTGCTTGGGCTTTATGTGTGTCCTTCCATAATTGGCCTAAGTTTGCCCAGCACAATTTATTATGCCTTCCAACCTAGTGTAAGTTGAGATAAAACCAATATTCTTTACCTTAAGGAAAACTTACTATTGTTTACATTCGCAGACAAAAATCCCCAAAGGCTATCATCTGCAACTGGCATTGCATGGTCAGGCCGTCATCCTGGGCCTTTTAGTTGTTAGTCTCACTGCATTTGGATTGCGTTCAACATATATTATTATAATTCCCCTAGTGTTCTATGTGTTATCCTTGGCCTTTAACTTATTGACGGTTCTACACGATCGTGGCTATGCTTGGACGGGACTTCTTAAAGCCAGTCAAATAATTCCTTTCCTGCACACCACTTATATCGTTTATATTCTGCTTGTGGCTCTTATTCCGATTTGTGCTCGATCAGGAAGTGCGTCCAATAAAGACTTGTACATAGCTGCCGTCACAGCACTTGGAACAGTTCTTTCGTTTGGTTTCTTGGTAACTATTCTCATATACTTTTTCACTCGATAATCTCTCACAAATATTCTAACAGGTTCCACTTATTAATATTGTCCGACGCCCAAGCTTAGTGGTGTTTTCTCTGTTGGTGATCTCAGCTCTTTCTATATACCTAGCAAGCAGCACACAAATCGGTTTTCCATTTCGACCAAAGACCAGCGGGCAGCGTGTGGCCTATCTGGTAAGTAGATTATATACTTCACAGTTATTCACACTTTTTCTTTATATTTTTATATCTTTACTATATTTATTTTGTATTCTATATTCAGCAAGTACGGAATAAGTTCTATGAGTACGACGGAACCCTCAGCAAGGACGAATCGGGATACTTGTTCAATTTCCAAGATCGTCGCAAAGAATCTACGTTTGTAGAAGCAAATGTTAATCTGACTGGCCTGTACAGCATCAAATCGAAATGCGAGAAGCAAATGATGTGTGGCATGCCTTTGTATGACTATCGCTATGAATCGAACAGACTACAGAGCAAATTTCTGCCACGTACCAATCCCATCGAACCACCAGCAGAAACAAAACTGGAATTGATAAGCAAAACGGTACAAAATCCTACAACCGTTCGATATGAGTTCAACTTAACAGGACCTTCCCATATGAGTTTGTTTATCCAAGCCTACGAAGACGTTGAGATAAGCAACTGGTCATTCTTACGTAGTTATCTGGATAATCCCCCACCGTATCCATTGTCATATCACATATATTTCGTTTACGGCATTGATAACTCTCCGCTCAACTTCTTTTTGGAGTTCACTGTAAGTTCGCTCTTCAGATAGATTTTTTCAGTTTAACTTTGACTTGATTGATTTTTATATTTATAGAAGCCAGATGGAGATTTCGAAGTACCGGTATTTCAGCTGGGAGTGTCTGGGCATTATATTGAACTAGAGGGTGATGCTGAAAGTCAGGAATTCGCATCTACGTTCCCATCCTTCGGGATTCTCGCGACATGGCCTGTACTCTACCAACGATTTATTTTTTAATAACAAAAGCAATACAAATGAAAAATAAAATAAAGTTTGGTAGTTCTGGTAAAAATTGCCAAAAAGTAGCAGTAAACCATTCCTTTATTCTTTAATTTTATTCTATACTTCTATAAAAATTGCTTGCTTCAAAACCAATAATTGAATAAATTTTTGTTCCAGCCGAAATATATTTACTTCAGAATCAAATATTTAATATATACCTTATATAAGGGGAAGAAAATATGTACAGCTTATTAAATATCCATATCTCTAGACATATGTCTGTATATGATAATTATGTTATCGTTCATATAGTCTATACTTTATGGTCAGCTCGTTTTTTGGAAATTGATTCTTATCGATCTCATCTTATCTCCGAAGTAAAATAATTAATTTATGTACATATATTATACGATACACGATATTTATTGATATCGAAACATCATTAATAAATAATTCACAAATCGATCATTTCATGAGAAAATATAAATACATACAAACATATGTTACCGAGCAGCAAATCTCTATTTAAGCTAAAAAAAACTTATTTGTCTTCAAATATAATTTGTTTAAATTACTGTCGCCTAAGAGGTGTTTCGAAAAAATACCGTATGGCTAGCCCTGTCACTTATGCACGTTAGCTAATGATGGTAATCATGAATCAATTTATTTTTTATGATTTAATCAATGATTTCTTTTTCTTGGCGCTATAAATTTGAATACCCCAACAAAGTATAAATGATTAAAATCAATTTAAAACAAGGCTATAAGCCAGATAAGATATTGAATTGTATTAATTGCTTGTAATTAGTGAATATCAGATAAACCGCACAAAATATTTATATAAAATTAAGCAACTTGAATACCTAAAGACCTTTGCTAACAATTTGTAATCTACATAATAAATATTATACATTATATATACAAATCTGTAGTTGGCAGAACTGACTATAGAGTATCTCGAAGCCTACGCATCTTAATTGCTATATTGCCATTTATTGCTTTAAGAGAATTCAGTTTACAATTTCATATTATAGATAAGATTTTGCTTAGCTATAAAAGCCATCTGCGTTTTCCAGAGTCTTCAGTACAACGCGACGACTTCACAGATACGGTAGATAATTAAGAAGCAGTATGGCTGATAAGGAGCAACTAGTAAGAGAATCTAGTATTAATATTATTAATTTATATAATATCAAATATTCACCTTATTAAGATGTTAGCCGATTCTCTAGAAGATCCTGGACGTGGAGCCCAGACAAAGTCAAATCCAAACAAGTCAAAGCTACCATGGTATTTTGCGAGTGGTTTCCTGCTCTTCTGGGGACTCCTCTTTTTCGCTGTGGTAATACCTCGATTTTATAAACTACCCACGCCGCTGACAATGGAGGACGCAAATAGAAATGTATTCATAGCTGAAAGGGCCTACAATAATCTTTATACCCTGTCCAATATTGGTAACAAATTAACTGGCAGCAGGGAGAACGAGGTTGAAGCAGTCAACTTTATATTAAAGGATCTAGAGGATATCAAGGAAGTTATGCTAGATGACTATTTCGATATGGAAATTGATGTCTCACAGGTGTCTGGAGCATTCCCGTATAAAACCATGCTGAACATGTACCAAGGCGTTCAGAATATAGCTGTAAAATTATCACCAAAGGGAAGCACCAGTGAGACGTACCTCCTGGTCAACAGTCACTTTGACTCGAAACCGTTTACACCGTCTGCAGGAGATGCAGGATTTATGGTAGTCACGATGTTGGAAGTGCTGCGCGTGATTGCAACAACAAAGGAGACCTTTGAGCATCCGATTGTCTTCTTGTTTAATGGAGCTGAAGAGGGTTCAATGCAAGCATCTCATGGTTTTATCACTCAGCACAAATGGGCGCCGTACTGCAAGTAAGTTTTACTTGATCCATTCTTAATAGTGTTTCTAATTTATTTTTTTTAGGGCTGTCGTTAATCTTGATGCTGGTGGTAGTGGGGGGCGAGAAATTCTCTTCCAGAGTGGTCCCAATCACGCATGGATTGTGAATGTAAGTTAGTTTGAAATGAAGCAAGCCCACACTTACTAAAAATTGTTCATAGTATTACAAAAACTATGTGAAATATCCGTTTGCAACGACCTTGGCGGAGGAAATATTCCAAACAGGCATTGTCCCGTCCGATACAGACTTCCGACAGTTTAACATCTATGGAAACATTCCAGGTAAATATGTGAATACTGGCAATTTGAATGCCGACTATTTGTATTCTTACTTTTAGGCTTGGACATGGGCCAATGTATTAATGGATTTAGATATCACACAATTTACGACACAATCGATGCGATTCCTCGTGGATCAGTCCAGAACACCGGCGATAATGTGCTCAGTGTGGTTCGCGGCTTAGCAAATGCTCCAGAGCTGCACGACATAAAAGTAAGAGTAGATTTCTTGAATGGAAATTGTAGTCTTAATTTCAATATTCCTTTCACAGGCTCACCGGGCTGGACATGCTGTATTCTTCGACTTTCTTGGACTCTACTTCGTCCATTATTCAGAGACAACGGGAATATATTTGAACTTTGGCGTTGCTGGTGCTGCCTTAATTCTCATTTTCATTTCAATGTGCCGCATAACATCTGTGTCCAATGTTTCCCTATTCCACGTGACTTGCTGGTTCACATTGGTCCTGGTCGTCCAGATTGTCTCTTTTGTCCTCGGACTTGCTCTTCCTGCTGTGGTGGCATATGTCTTTGACTATTTGGGACTTTCGCTAACTTACTATAGCACCCCGTTGCTGATAATCGGCCTTTATGTGTGCCCCTCGCTGATTGGCCTCGGCTTACCCGTAACTATCTACCATAGGTTGCAGCAAAACGTAAGTTGATTATCTGTATAAATGAAATATGAACTAATTAATTTTATGCATGCAGGATAAAATATCAAATGCCTACCATCTGCAATTGTCGCTACATGCACAAGCCATTATCCTATCGCTGTTAACTATTGGCGCAACACTATTTGGCCTGCGTTCAATATATATCTTAGTGATTCCACTTATTTTCTATGTCTTATCATTGGCCTTCAACTTGTTGACAACTCTGCACGATCGCGGATATGCCTGGACGGGCGTCCTTAAACTCAGCCAGGTGATTCCTTTCCTGTATAGCAGCTACCTCTTTTATACACTCGTGGTAATACTGACTCCGATGGGTGCCCGAGCAGGCAGTGCTAGCAATCGGGACTTGTATGTTGCCATATTAGCAGCACTGGGAACTGTTCTTTCCTTCGGTTTCTTGGTAAGTTTCCTTAGCGTCTGTTCTCATTCAGAATATTTCTCACCAATATTTGTTTCAGGTTCCCCTCATTAATAGTTTCCGACGTCCAAGTTTAGTGATTGTATCTCTGTTGGCAGTCACAGCTGTCGCCATCTACTTGGCCAGTAGCACCCAAGTTGGATTCCCGTATCGCCCGAGGACCAACGGACAGCGTGTTGCGTATCTGGTAAACTTTACTATTAGCTTTACTTTAGAAATGATATCCAATGCCTTACCTTAACATCTCAGCAAGTGCGAAACAAGTTCTACGAGTATGACGGAACTCTCAGCAAGGACGAGTCTGGCTACTTGTTCAATTTCCAGGATAGACTACGAGAAAAGCCATTCGTAGACAGAAATGCCAATCTGACTGGACTGGTTAGCATTAAGTCGCTCTGCGAGGAGCACATGATGTGTGGCATGCCTTTGTTTGACTATCGCTATGTTCAGAATCGCCTTGAGAGCAAATGGCTTGCCCGATCTGCGCCCATCGAGCCAAAATCATCAACAGAACTGGAATTGGTATCCAAAACCACAGTCAATGCGACAATTGTGCGCTTTGTGTTTAAGCTGACTGGACCTTCTCATATGAGCTTGTTCATCCAGCCTTACGAAGACGCCAAGATCGTCAACTGGTCATTTTCCCTTAATTATCTCAAATATCCACCAGCATATCCGCTTGCGTTTCACATATATTTCAGATATGGCATTGACAGCTCTCCGCTTACCTTTTGCATAGAAATATCGGTAAGAGAAGTAATTTACAGTTTCTATAAAAGAGTATAATATTTGCATAATTCATTTCAATTAGAAATCTGATGGCGATTTTAATGTACCTTTGTTTCAACTGGGAGTCTCTGGACATTATATTGGAGAAAAGGGAGATGCTGAAAGTGAGGAGTTTGCCGCATCGTTCCCTTCCTATTCCATCTTAGCCACTTGGCCTGTTCTATACCAGCGATTTATTTATTAATAAACAAAGATATTAAACATTAAAATAAATGTGTATATGCTGCTTAATTAATATATATGCCTATTGTATACGAGCACAACAATCAATTCTCCAATATTATTATGAGCTGCAGTCATCACGCACTTTTTAAATGTTCGATATAAATGTAAATGCTTTATCGATAACCAGATACTTATTTGAAAGCTGTGACAATAATCCACTGTTATTGAAGCTCATCTAGTAGAAATTACTCATTTGGCGTTGTTAAAAGTTAACATCGACGCAAAATGCTCTATGTAAGCCAAACTATTCGACGCAATTCTGCCCATTCATTTAACACAATTCTTAAATTTCCAATGCCGCAAACCAAATAAATGTCGGCTTCAAAGCGCGCAGAATTATTATTTTTTAAATAATAAGTAAATCTAAATCGATATAATTTAAAAGTCAATTTAACAAAATTTACATTCAGATAAAAAAATAGAAAATTGCATTTAAGAGTATATTTTAATACTAATTATATAAATGATAGCTCGAAAAGCTTTTGATTTTTAGTATATGTTCACAATCTTATCGCTTAAGTGCGCTATTAACTCAAGTTGCAGTAAATATTAATGGCTGTGATTAAGCAAACAAGCTTCAAGTACTACAGACTTTTGCGATATCCGATTTTTGTTTTGATTTGGTTGCTGTTCCCCAATGCATATACTATGTATGTATATAAACTGGTATTACCCAGAACCACTGCGTCATCATTTGGATTTTGATATATGTATGTATTTTGCGACAATTTCCAACTATAAGTAAAGAACATTTCCATCAAGCTATGGGCTAGTTAAGTTTGTTTATCGTAATCATAAATAAATGAGGTACTACATATAATTTAGATATAAAGCCCATTCTTGACCATTCCCTTTGAAATCAATAGCCAATGTATTACAAAACATAACAACAAATTGTGAGCATTTCTGCTCTTGCTGGATATTATCTTTATTGACTTCAAAGTGCAAATCAGTGCCAATAAAATCGAAACACCGTTCAGCCAAGCCATTCAATGGATTCAGTTGGAGCTGAGCAGCGCTCGAGTTTGGAAGCGGTGCAAAAAAATGTCCCAAATAAAAGAGCACAAAGTTGTAAGTTGGAAAGGGTTGCTTCTACTACCCATCATAAAAAATGAGAAATTGTAAATGTTTTTCTTTTAATCAGAGCGCTGCTGCACTGGACTCTGCACTAGTTAGCCTCCTGAAGAGCTCTAAGAGTCTCAGAGCCAAGGTGCCCTGGTACTATGCGCCCGCCTTTCTGCTGCTCTGGCTGGCGCTCTTCTTTGCCGTGGTTATTCCGCTCTTCAGTCGGCTCCCCGAGAGCGTCACCATTGCCCAGGAGTCGCAGAGGCCGAACGAATTTGTAGCCGAGCGAGCACAACGTCTGCTGCAGAGATACGACAGCATCGGACCCAAGGTCGTGGGCAGCATTGCCAATGAGCAGCTTACGGTAGGCTTCCTGCTCGAGGAGGTGGCCAATGTGCGCGCAGCCATGCGAGCGGATCTCTATGAGCTGGAGGTGGATGTGCAGCAGTCATCCGGAGCGTACATGCATTGGAATATGGTGAACATGTACCAGGGCGTGCAGAATGTGGTGGTCAAGCTGAGCACGCGAGGCTCGGCCAGCGAATCCTATTTGCTGCTCAACAGCCACTTCGACTCGAAGCCCGGCAGTCCCGGCTCAGGCGACGACGGCACCATGGTGATTGTCATGCTGGAGGTGCTGCGGCAAATGGCCATCTCAGAGCAGCCCTTCGAGCATCCCATTGTGTTTCTCTTCAATGGCGCCGAGGAGAATCCTCTGCAGGCCTCGCACGGCTTCATCACCCAGCACAAGTGGGCCAAGAACTGCAAGTGAGAGAACTAGATTTAGAATATATATTATATATTAGTCTAATATTATATGTGTATATAAATTCATATGAAATCATATATGCTTCCATTTCAGGGCACTTATCAATCTGGAGGTGGCTGGCAGCGGCGGTCGAGATCTCCTGTTTCAGAGTGGACCCAATCATCCTTGGCTTATGCGGGTGTGTTGAATGTCTATTTACTATTGTTGTTATTGTAGCCTTATGTTCAGATTTAGTTAGATTATTTATGGCGCGTGTCGGCGAGCAGTTAGATGTTTATCATGGCCTATACTCATAAAGCTGACTATTCACTTTTTTATTGCATGATATAAATGATATGTTGTTGGTGTTGCCAACCGATATCCGTATTGCTTCGCCATATCTTTTGATTTGTGATGCTCCTTCCGTTTTGCGCAGTATTATAAGGAGAATGCCAAACATCCTTTCGCCACGACCTTGGCCGAGGAGGTCTTCCAGGCTGGTATACTGCCATCCGACACGGACTTTCGCATATTCCGCGATTACGGCCAGGTGCCAGGTGAGATATGGCTGGCTTGTTATTCGAATTGCGCCTATGTCTACTACTTATTACTTCCATTTCAGGCCTCGATATGGCGCAGATCAAGAATGGCTACGTCTATCACACCGAGTTCGATAATTATGCGGCTGTGCCACGCGCCTCTCTGCAGAACTCGGGCGAGAATGCTTTGGCTCTGGTGAGGGCCTTTGCCAATGCCAGCGAAATGTACGACACTGAGGTGAGCTAGATTTATCTGGAATGCTAACACGAGTGACTCACATAATTCCTTTGCAGGCTCACAGTGAGGGAAAATCGGTGTTTTTCGACTTCCTGGGCCTGTTCATTGTCTTCTACTCGGAGACAACGGGCAAAATTCTGAACTGTTGCATTGCGGCCGTCAGTCTGGTGCTCGTCTGCATCTCACTGTGGCGCATGTCGCGCGCCTCTGAGCTGTCTCTGGGCCACATCTCGCTGTTGTTTGTCATCATTCTGGCCCTGCACGTGCTGGGTGTGCTGCTCAGCGTGGGGCTGCCGCTGCTGATGGCCGTTCTCTTCGATGCTGGCAATGGTTCGTTGACCTACTTTACAAACACCTGGTTGATGATAGGGCTCTACATTTGCCCGGCCATCATTGGACTGAGTCTGCCCACAACACTCTACTACAGCTTTCGGAAGAATGTAAGCCGATTCTGATTCTGTATTAAGTTCTCGTCACTTATTATTATTTACTTTGGTTTGCAGTTGAAGATAAGTCACGCCTACCATTTGCATATGAGCCTGCACGCCCACTGCGTGGTGCTGGCCTTGATAGCCATCGTACTGAGTGCAATCAGTCTGCGCACACCCTATCTCTGTATGATATCCATACTCTTCTACTCAGCTGCGCTGTTGATCAATCTATTGAGCAGCTTACACGATCGCGGTGAGTGGAGAGAGTCCTTGACAAATGCGTTCTCAGTGGACTGTTTGATCTCTTTCACTTTCAGGCTATTACTGGGTGCTCATCACTCAGATACTCCAGCTGATGCCGTTCTTTTACTTCAGCTATCTGTTCCACATGCTTTTGGTCATCTTTATACCCATGATGGGTCGCAATGGCAGCTCTATAAATCCGGATCTCCTGGTAGCCCTGATATGCACACTCGGCACATTCTTTGCCCTAGGATTTGTGGTAAGTGCAGCTCCTTGTCTCGCCAGAATTGATTTTCTCAATTGCATTTTCTCCCAAACTAGTCGCCGCTCATTAACATGTTTCGCTGGTCGAAGTTTATCATGCTCGGACTGGCCATAGTCACTTTCATATTCAGCATGATTGCCGTTTCGGAGGTGGGCTTTCCCTACCGACCCAAGACCAGTGTGATGCGTGTGAACTTTCTGGTAAGTGGGACTTTATATATTATACACATCTATATATACATGTATTCTCTTGCTGACAGCATGTGCGTCGCGTCTTCTACGAGTTCGATGGCAGCGTTAGCCTCAGCGATTCGGGCTATTACTTTGACTTCCAGGACAGAAGGCTGAACCATCCGCTCGAGGACACTTCGGTGGACTTGACAGGTCTGACTGGCATCAAGGAGCACTGTGATACGGAGTTGATGTGCGGCGTGCCCTGCTTCAATCATCGCTGGTGCAAGGCGCGCGAGACGGGCAACTGGCTGGCGCGAGAGCAAGAGGTGATCATACCCGGCAACTCCTCCCTGTTGCTGCTGAGCAAAAGCCTTTTGCCCACTGGCAACACGATGCGCTTTGAATTTGAGCTGAGCGGGCCACCTCATATGGGCTTGTTCATACAGCCATTGGAGGGCGTAACCGTTGAGGACTGGTCCTTCATCAGAAATCCGCTGGACGAACCGGAAAAGTACAAGTTGCCCTATCAGATATTCTTCTCCTATGGCAAGGACAATTCTCCCCTAAGATTTTACATTGATTTCACTGTGAGTTTCTATGAATAGTTCACATATATTTCATTTAAATTTCAATTAACATATTCACTTTAGAAACTTGCTGGCGATTTCGATGTGCCCATCTTTGAGATGGGCGTGGCGTGGCATTACGTGAGCTACGACTACGAAAGAGATGCGGCTGGAATGCAGTTTATAGCCGACTTTCCAGACTTTGTCCATGTGATGGAGTGGCCGACGCTATATAAGCGTTACATATACTAAGCTAACTTAATTTATAACTTAGTCTTAAGTTAAATGTCGTTTCAATAGTAAACTAAATATTTTATATATTGTAAATAACATTGGAAATACAAAAGAGATATAAAAAATGATTTCTTTTGAATGTTTTAAATAATAATATATATAAAATATCTGTGAATAATATGAATATTCTTTTTAGCTATCAAATCTCATTCTGCATTCGCATTATTAATAAATATTTATGACTTTTGTATGACTATAACTATAGAAGAATCCAAATAACAACCTCTTTGATATCAGGCTTAATTAGAGGATGCCAAGTAATTGAAGCAATAAATCTACCTTATTGAAAACGCAACTTAATAAAATCCCACATTCTAAACGTAAAGCAATTCCAAATTTATTTGTATATTGTGCATCATGAATGAAAATTAAGAGACTTGATACGAAATCACAGTTGCTGAGAATTAACAATTTGAGTTTTGCTAGCAATCTGATCCGTTCATTCAGTCATGGAAAGTGAAGAGGCCCACATAGGAAGCCTTGGAACTCACAACGAATATAAATTTTATTATTAGTAAAGCCGTTTAGAATAAGTTTTATTTTTTGTTTAAATACGGTGTAAGAATTTGTCGTTGCCATTGGAACTGATGGATATTTCAGAAAGCATGGATACTGCCACCATTGACCTGGCTGAGAAGAGTCATGTGAAGAACAAGCTGCCCTGGTACCATGCGTCCAGCTTCCTGCTGCTCTGGCCCGCTCTCTTCTTTGCTGTGGCCTATCCGCTCTACAATGCGATGCCCAAGCCGGTTAACATTGATGAGGAGCTTTATAAGCCGGGCCAGTTTGTGTCGGAGCGTGCTCAGCATCTGCTGCTGGAACTGGACCGTCTGGGACCCAAAATTATCGGCGATGAGATGAACGAGAAGACAATGATTGAGTTTCTGCTGAGGGAAATGGACAGTGTTCATCGGGAAATGCGACACGATCTCTACACTCTGGAGGTGGATGTGCAGCGGGCATCGGGCGCCTATCTGGCCGTCGACTCGATCAATATGTATCAGGCAGTGCAAAATGTGATCGTCAAACTGACGCCTAGGCAGTCAAACAGTTCGGCCTATCTGCTCGTCAACAGCCACTACGATACCAAGGTGGGCAGCGTGGGTGCGGGAGATGCCGGCTCCATGGTCGTCACCATGCTGGAGGTGCTGCGCCAACTGGCCACATCCAACGACTCGTTCGAGCATCCGGTTATCTTCCTCTTCAATGGCGCCGAGGAGAGTGAGCTGCACGGCTCGCACGCATTCATCACACAGCACAAATGGTCCCCCAGCTGCAAGTGAGTGCAAGTTGAGTGTGCAATCCGCGTGAGCAATCTCCTAACTCTCGTTTCCAGGGCACTGATCAATGTGGATTCGCTTGGAGCTGGCGGTCGTGAGTTGCTCTTCCGTGCCGGTCCGTTTCATCCGTGGCTAATACGCGTAAGTAGAAACCATTAGCAATGCTTATAATGCTTACAGCTAGGCCAGTGCTGCTCCACACTCACGGCACACACTTATCAGATCAACGGAGCGATATGATTCTCATATCCAAATATCAGTTTCGCATATCTTATCAGCCAACACCTGTTTACACCTGTTTGCAGCACTACAAAGCCGCCGCCAAGCATCCATTTGGAACAACATTGGCTGAGGAAATATTCGAGTCGCGCATTGCGAATTCCAAATCGGACTTTGGAATCTTTCGCGATTACGGTCCTCTGCCGGGTGAGCGAATAAGTGAGCAACTCGTTGACTCCACTCCAATAATAATCTCCCGCACAGGTCTGGATATGGTAGTCCAATACAATGGATTCGTTTATCACACCAAATACGATCGATTCGATGTCATATCACGAGATTCGCTGCAAAGCACCGGCGACAATCTCCTTGCCCTGGTCAGAAGTATTAGCAATGCCAAGGAGATGCGCGATATCAAGGTAATCAAATGACTGATGAGACTGTTTTATATATTTATATATGAATCATTTGGATTAATATTTCGCCCTCTCTCTCTTTATCTCTCTCTCTTTCTCAAATATTGCCTAACTTCTCCCATTTCAGGCACACGCAAAGGGGCGCTCGGTCTACTTTGATTTCTTGGGACTATTTTTCGTTTCCTATCTGGAGTCCACAGCCATTTTCCTGAACATCGGCTTTGGCGGGGGTGGCATTATCATAGTGTATTTCTCTCTATGGTACATGTCAAACAAATTAAATATTGACGTTGGCACCGTGGTCCAGGAGTTTGCTATTATGTTTCTCATGGAGTTGGTGTCGTTTGGCCTGGCTCTGGGCCTGCCCATGCTCATCGCCACGTTCTACGATGCCGGCAAACGGACGATGACCTATTTCACGAACAGCTGGCTGGTCATTGGAATCTACATTGTTCCGTCGATCATTGGTCTTGTGCTTCCAGTGACGATCTACTTGATTATCGGTCGTAATGTAAGCGCTCGATTTGGAAGAGTTTCCTGCTGATCCATGGCAAATGTCTATCTCTTGCTCTCTTTTTCTCTTGCAGAAGCGGATTCCATCCAACTATCGCCTGCAGATCGCCGGCCACGCCCATTGCATTTTCTTTGCCCTGCTGTGCATTGTGTTGACCATTTTGAGCGTGCGCAGCGCCTACCTCTTCATGATCTCCCTGCTCTTCTATGTGGGCGCACTGTGCATCAATATGATCTCCAAGCTGCATGAGCGCGGTATGTTGCCAGCATCAATCCAAACTTAATCCGACTCTATTAAAGTTTCGCATGCGCTCTAGGCTACTTCTGGTCGCTCGTGCTAGGCGCCTGCCAGGCCATACCTTTCCTGTACTTCAGCTACTTGTTCTACGCCTGTCTGGTCATCTACATTCCATTGACGGGCCGCACCGGCACCACTGCGAATCCGGATCTGCAGATTGCCATACTCTGTGCTGCGGGCACTATTCTGGCCCTGGGCTTCTTGGTGAGCTGCCTAAATGCAAAAATACTAACGAGCAACAGTCTAATTCCATTCTATTTTCTTTAGGCTCCACTCATAAATGTTTTTCGTTATCCTGTAATAATCATTGGCATTATGACAGCCACGACCTTTTTATTTGTCCTGGTATCCGTTTCAGAGTTGGGCTTCCCCTATCGCCCCCGAACGAATGTGATGCGTCTGAATTTCTTGGTAAGCCTACTGCTTCCTATATAGCCACAATCATGTCATATCAGAGATCTCTGTTTGTGCAGCAAGTGAATCGCAAATTGTACGATTACAATGGCTCCATCAGCCATCAGGATGCCGGCTACTACTTCGGCCTGCACGACCATCGTAAGGAGCAGCCGCTGCGCGACAAACTGGACCTCACCGGCATGGTGGGCATCGCAGACACTTGCGACTGTCAAATGCGGTGCGGCCTGCCCTGCGGCACTCAGCGCTGGCTGCCACGCACGCAGCCCGTCCAAATGCCCGGAGACACCACTCTCGAGCTGCTCAACAAGACGGTCGTCAACAGCGGCTACTCGATTCGCTACAGTTTCCAGCTGACTGGGCCCTCTCGCATGACCATCTACCTGATGCCCCTGGAGGGGGTCAAGATGGTGGACTGGTCGTTCTTGCGGGGAATGCTCGACAGCCCGGCCAAGTACAAGCCGCCGTATCAGATCTCCTTCACCTGGGGCGCCGACAGCTCACCCATCAAGTTCTACGTAGAGTTGACGGTGCGTATTACCCCAGCCAGATAATATTCCGTTTTCCGCTTACGCTTTCCCTTTGTAGAAGACCAATGGCAAGTTCAATGAACCCGTTTTCGAAATTGGCATCGCCGGCCATTATCTGAGCCATGTTCACAAGCGAGATGCGCTAAGCGCACTGTTTATAAAAGAGTTTCCAGATTTTGTAAACGCCGTGGAATGGCCAACTTCTTACGATCGTTATATCTATTAAAGTTACTGTTTTTATAATTTTGGACTAATAGCAAAATATATGTAAACGTCAAGTGAATGCAATTGAACCATTCAAGTGTATCTCTTTCTCCTCTCCTCCGCCCTCCCCGCCAGAAGCTGGTTGCATTCTGTTTGAGAGCAAACAAAAGGCCCTCAATTTGGGCTGCAGCTCAAACAGTCGTTGAGCGTTTCATAACGAGCGCGGAATAAATATTTAAGTTTGAATAGAACTTCTCGCCCTGGCGTGGCGTGGCGTGTGGCGTGGCAAACATTTGTGCAAACAGCAGCAAACAGACTGTTGTAATAGCTGCACCAGATATTTGCGTCTTCTCGTGCGACTGCGTATAAAAGATGCGCAGTGGGACAGTGAAAGACACAGTTCAATTGCAGCAACAATTTGGTGAACAACCAAAGAAAGTTCGATAACACACAGACAGACACACACAGACAGACATAATGAAGTTCTCTTTGGTTCTATTGGTGGCCTGCGCGTTAGCTGCATCGGTGCAGGCGCAAACTACGCCACCCGACTACATCTACAAGGATGATGGCCTCAGTGACTACAGTCCTAGCAGCTACGACTACTACAGCTCCAGCTATCCATCGTATCCATCGTATTCTTCCTCGTATCCGTCCTCTTACTACTACTACGAAGATGAAGTGACCACCGCTAAGCCATTCAAGCACCAGTTCCTGTCCATGCTCTTCAAGAAAGGATAAGCTGGGTAGGCTGTAAGAACTCATCTCGATAACGACGTCATCCTCAACCAAATACTGTTAACGTTAAAATGTGAAAATACAATTAAACTAAATTTAAAAACAAAAACAAAAACACAATATCAATTATTTCATTTGCATTTAGTGCGCCGGCAGAGTGACTGAGTCTGGGGCGAGTAAATGGCAGATTCACAAGTCTTGCCCAAGCCCAGGCCGGAGCCACAATGAGCCAATGAGGGCTCATTAACGCCTTTGGTCAAAGCTGAGCACGACTCGCACAGCGAGCATAGACACAGCCGCCTCCAACAAAGGTCGTGTGGAGCGACAGCTAGACATGATCATGGTCAGGTGGTGGGGCAACAATCTGCACTAGTCGAAGTATATACTGCTATTCTTCGTATAATGATGATGCTGTTGCCGCCCTCGCCGGCCTGCAACGGCAACGGCATCTGGTTAATGCGGGCGGATGGGATGGGTTGGGAGGCTGGCTGGCTGCATTAACTGCCATTGCGCAATTTGATTTCTTGTGGCACATCAGAATATGTAGGCAAAGCCAAAGGCGAAGTCTTTACAAATGTAGCTGACAAATTGATTTGAAATGCGAGACGTGTTCTTTGAATGCCACGATGCAAGTTTATTTCACGATAAACACACTCAATCAAAAACTGACCAAAATATATATTCATGCCCCACTCACTCAGTACAGTGAAACTTCTGGCATGACAGTCATCAATATGTCTAATGAAAACTAAATCTTATATATTTGATACAAAAATTTAATATATATATATTTTTTTAATATTTGTAATTTATATATATTTATCTTATTTATCACATACTTTTTATGTAGTTATATATTTTATTTTCATATGTTTTTATACATATATATTTCATATATATATATATTTTGAATATATGAACTGTTTATATATTTTTTCGGGTTATTTTTATTTTTAATTTCCAACTTATTAACATTATCACTATTAATATTTCTAAAAATATAAAAATATATATTTAGTTTTTAAATCTTTTTAAATTCTATCTTGCAATATAATTTTCTCTTTAACTGGAATAACCACATGTATTTCACTCAGATGACTAATTCAACTACATATGTATCTCAATTACCTTTGGTGTGAAGCGAATCGCATTTAATTTGCATTTATTCTCCCCTATGTGAACGTTCTTAAGACTCTCGACAGAAGCCTTTATTGAGGCGCCTCGTCAGGTCTATGGGCTGTGAGCAATTTAGCCGACAAATTGCAGAGTTAACCACAACACGCGAACAATGCACTTGAAGCAGTCGCCAAAGATATAATCAGATGCGGCCAGGCTGTGTCTGTAGTGAGTTTGGCTTCTGATCTGTGTGCATCTGCCAAATGCTAAACACCCACCAATGGCCAGGCCGAACTCGGAGCGCGACTCGCTCTGCTGCAAGCGCTGCAAGACGCGGCAGCTGTAAAGTTCAAGCATTCAGCATTCGGTTCGAGTGCTCGCAACGATGCAACGATGCAAGTTGCAAGATTTTGCTATAAATATGCAAACCTTTCGCAGAGCTGGCCACAGTTGCACATCGCGACGCTGACAGTTGCCAGTCCAGAGCCCAGCATAGGATTAAAGCCCAGCTAATGCAATACATTGTAAGTGACAAAGTGTTCGGTCTACAGGTTCAGTGCGGTAACTCCTCTTATCTTCTGCCAGCTGCTGACTATCGCAGCAGTGCTGCTGTGCAGGGCGCATGCACGACCCCAAGGACCTGCCACGGAGCCTATCAAGATCATTCGGCAGGAGCAGGAGGTGAACTTCGACGGCTCCTACAAGTATGGCTATGAGACAGAGAACGGCATCAATGTGGAGGAGGAGGGCTATCTCAAGAATGCGGGCACCGACAATGCAGGACCGGTGAGTTGGTCGACCGCAGAGCCCACAGACATTTGGCATTTGCATCTATCTGCCTGCAGCTTAATGCTGACAAATTTTTCAGGTATTGTAATTAGCTAAATCTATTTTTGTTTTTGTTTTTCTGCTGCCTAAAGGTCGCACAGGGCTTCTTTTCCTACACTGCGCCCGACGGCACGCCCATACGGATCACCTATGTGGCGGATGAGAACGGCTTCCAGCCACAGGGCGATCATCTGCCCACCGCTCCGCCCATACCACCGGCCATTCAGAGGGCCCTGGATTACATAGCCACAGCACCACCGCCACCCGCAGATCAACAGAGCGCCTACACCGCACGCCGAGGCTAACCTTACAGCAAGTGAGACAGACAGACAGACAGACAGAGAGGGAGAGTGAGTGAGAGAGGCTACAGAGACAACGCGAACATGTTTGTTAAACAAAATTGTTAAGCCATTTTATAAAAAAAAAACCCTTTCCGCACATGTAAATAAATATGCAAAAATAAAATATAAAAAATAAAAAAATATCTATAAATCTTTTAATTTGATAAAATTAATTATAAATTTATAGTAATGCTGTTAATATTTGGAAGGTTCCGCTCTGCAACTCATCTATGCGGCATTGAAATTAGTTAATTTTTTTTTTATATATCTATTTAAATAGTTTAAAAAAAAAATACAAAAATATTTTATTAAAATATAAAACTGTCCCATGCCAATGTACAATTGTTTTTTTTTTTTTATTCGCGATTGAAGACTTCTTCATTTATTATTCATTTGCTCAGCTGCTGCATAAAGTAGATGATGAAACATATCAGAGCCGATGTTTGCTGTCTTCTTCGAATCTCTTCTTGGATGTACTCTTTTGAAATATACAGTATTATTTATTTTAATATATAATATGACTAGCATATAAACTGTAGGCCTACTCTTATTTTTTCCTTATTAAATATAATTATATTAAATATAAATTTACATTTTATAACATTAAATACAATGCCGTGCTGTATGCTGATCTCATCTGTTTCTGCATTCAAATCGCTTCAATCATTTGGATTTCATTCGGCCAGCGCCTAGCATACTTTCAGGCATTCGAGTTAAGTAGCCAAGCAACTGGTTTTTCTGGTGTTCTGGGGATCGAGTCTTCAGCTCTTTTGTGCTGTTGGTCAACATGAAAGCAATTAAGACCAATGCTTGCTTAAATTAGTCGGTGTCCAAAGAAATGTCAGCGTTTCCGTGACGATGAGGATGACGATGTCAATGTCGATCATAAAATTAATTCAATAATCATCTATATGAAAAATAGCTCATCCGCCTTGTTGCTGCTTGTTGGCCGGAGCTGCTTTCCAGAAAATATATAGTCAACGCCCCATAAATCAGAACTGTTAATAGATCTAGTTTTGAGTGCTTTGTGCAAATGTTGTTTGCCCGTGGACACGCTACGCTGGCTAGTTGGCCATAGCACACATCGAGCGAGTGGATCATCCGCGGCCGGACCCGTGGGCGTTGCGAATAGCTCATATATAAAGCTCTGACAGTGGCTAAAACTTCTCATTGCTGATTAAACATGCTGCGTCTAACGGTAAGTCGTGCTGAGTTCAGTTGATGCCAGAAGCGCATCCATGTCTCACGTCTGTCACCACTGCAGATTTGGCTGCTCATCTGCGCCGCTGTGGCGCTGGCCCAGAACGATGGCCGCTATCGTCCTGCGCCCAGGCCGATCTCCGCCCTGAACACCCGAGTTGCTGCCAACGCTGGTCGCTATCGGGGCAGCAACGATGGCCGCTATGTGCCAGGCGACGATGGCAAATATCGCGGCGGCAACGATGGACGCTATGGCGGCAACAACGACGGGCGCTATGTGCACGTGGACAACAAGTACCAGCACGACAATCGTCCTGGAGGCGACTACAGCGGCGGCAATGATCCGTATCGCGGTGGCAAGGATAAGTTTGGTGCTGGCGGTGGTGCTGGTCGCGGTGGTGGAGGTGGTGGTGGCGGCGGTGCAGCCAACGCAGCAAATGGAGCTAATGCCAACGGTAGAGCTGGCGCTGCTGCTGGTGCTGGTGCCGGTGCGGGTGCTGGTGCTGGTGCTGCAAAGAAACCCTTGCTGCCACGCCCCGTGCCCGTCGTGGAGCAGCGCCCCAATCTGCCACAGGGACGCGGCACTGGCGTTGGCAAGAACGGCTGGCTGATTCTGCGTCAAGTGGGCGCCGTGGAGACCGAAGGCTACAACTACCTGTAAGTACACGAATGTCCCTGGACTCCACTGAAAATGGATGAATATTTACGTCTGCCTTCTCACTAGCTACGAGACTGAGAACGGTATTCTCGGCGAGGAGAGCGGACGCATCGAGAAGCAGACGGAGGGCGATGCTCTACGCTCCAAGGGCTACTACGAGTACACAGGCGACGACGGTCTGCTCTACCGCGTCGACTACGTGGCCGATGAGAACGGATTTGTGCCCGCCGGCGAACATATTCCCAAAGTACCAGAGCACATACCCAGGCTCTTGGCCTATCTGCAGTCTAAGGGCGCCTTGTAAAAATTAAAATATATTCATTTGTTCGTGTTGTTTCGGTTACAAGAAAATAAAAGAGTTTTTTGAAAAATCCCAAAAGGAAATTCTATTAATTATTACGGGGAAACTGAGGTATAAATATAACAATAAAATGTATACGGATGTGAATGTATTTTTTATTTAAAATATACATTAAATATATACCAAAAATATATATATATATTGTTATGCATTGTAAACCAATATTTTTAATTTTTTATATTTTTATTATTTTAAAACATATTGTGTTGACATTTTAACTTTCATTTAATTTAGTTAAGATTCGGCACGATTCGTTGTTGTATGTATTCCAGCACTTCATTAATCGTTGACTGCACTTTCTGGGGCTGCAAATGAGAAATATATATATATAGATCTGACGATTACCGATCTTGATTACTCACATCCTTTTCTGTATTGATATTTGACTGCTCGTAGCTCGGCTGTGGTTGCTGCTCCTCGCCGCTGTGCTCGTTCACTGGCTCCGCCTGGGGCTGCTCATATGCGTAAGCGCCAGCTGGCTGGGATTGAGATTGACGCTCGGTGTCCCAGAGCCTGTTCTCGTTGACGTAGCTGAACTGACGCTGATCCTCGGCTGTGCCATCGCCGTCTCGCACCCATTCGAACTGGATTATCTGCCAGCCGGTGCCGTTGTAATTGAAGTCGATCATGAAGCGCAGATGATCGCGCGGCCCCAGCGCAAAGTTCTCCTCAGCCTCCTGCACACTGGCGGCCAGCTGCTGCTCGGCCTGCCTAAAGATGCCGCGCAGATCATTGGCATACGGCTGACCTCTATCCCCGTAGCCGCCGTCATAGGGCCTGGGCTCGTGTCGATACTTGCCGCTATTATCCGGCTGATACCAGCCAACGGCGCCGTGGCCATAGTGGCCCCTGGCCGAGGGCGTGGGCAACGGCGGTGTTCCATCCGCTGATCCTGGTGCTGCGCCCAGCTGCAGCAGAAGGCAGACGACAAGCAAAGCTGTGTACATCTCTCAAACAGTTGAATGCGTTTAAATCTAGATAATCGAATCACCGGCCAGGTTAGTTTCAGCGCAGACGGGCGTCGACTGCCAGCTAATTAATTGTCAGGTTTTATGTTGAAGATGCAGCCGTGTAATTATTTAATTGCCTAGTTTATTCGGTAACCGCTGCACACGCCACTCAGCCGAGGCGCTACTAACGCAATGCTAATTGGAATTCTTTGCATACTAACAAGCCATAAAGTGGCTAACTAACCCAATCCGACTAACCCAACTCGTTTCCATTGCCAGCCTACGGCAACCCCTCCCCACACTCGGCCCAATTGCGTCTGACCTTTTGATCGCCAGCGAAAATATCTCAAAACGGAAACCATTGGACAGATGTCGCACAGTCGTACGTGGTAATCCGATGAGGATGAGTCAGAAATGGAAAAGGTATGAGATATAAAAATAAGTAGATATAAAGATACAATATATAGTATTTTTCTTATAAAGCTGCAACTTTCTTCGAACTAAATATCTATAAACAGCTTAAATATAATAATCATCTATTATAATATTCAATTGACATCAAACAAACACCACACCCAATGTAAATACTTCAAATCGCCTGTCGAAAGCTCTGTGAGCTGCTGAAGCAGCTGAGTCTGTTTGCCTGCTGGGCAATTTGCAAAATAACAATTCAATGGATTTGATAGGATCAGAGTTAATTAGTGTCGCTTAAATCAAATTTAACGCTCATAATAAACAATAAAACGATCGTTTGCCTTAATGGGCACTCATAACGATCAATCAAAATGGGCGCTTGGCACTCATCAATCACTCACTCTCGGCGAGTTTCAACATGGGCATTAAAAACATGTTGAAAGCCAATCGAAATGTGCTTTGTGGTGACTGAGTACAAAGAGTGAAGAGTCGAGCCGTGTTGCTCTGTGTGCGTGAAATCGAAAGTGAAGTCCGCCCACAACGAGTAGAACTAATCATAGAACGGAACGGAACTTGGGCAAGATTCAACTTTAACCTTTTGCCTTGCCGGCGATCAGGGGTCAAATTAGTCGAAAGCCGTTAGGTTATCAAACTATTAACATTTAACCTCTTACCTTGCACATTATCGACTCAAAGCGTGGCTTCATAATTGTGTCTATGAAACATGCCTTAAAATACAATCCACAAAATAGCCTTGAAATCTTGTTAATATGAGTGGCAAAGCTGTTGAACCAGCCCTATGAAAAAACAATCAAATGTAATCTGGGGCTTTATTTGTCGGCTCGTAAAAACTGAGACAGTTTTCAGCTAGACTATAAAATTGGTGCTATTTATATTGTTTGATCTTTTGTTGTTACCTAAAGAAGATAAACTTGATTCGAATAGGACATACTCTGTTGTAGATAAAATAGATAAGCAGTTGATCAGATGCAAACTATAACAATGGAATATCTGGTTCAATACAAAAGCGGTTAGAACCAAAGAGAACTATGTAGGCACACATTTAACTAGTAAAACGTTTTTAATGACTATGTTTTAAAGTAAACAACGCTTCCTATAACTTTAATGCAAATACCTGGAAGATAAAATGTTGGCCGTACAATAGAAACACTTTGGACTAGTAAAGGCATATTAATTTGCTATTTATATATCAAGTCAGTTGATATATCTGATTATAAATATATATATTAGCTGTATTTGCTATGAGTTTGGGTGGATTAAGGCAAAAATCGTCAGTTGGATTAACAACCTGTTGTTTAATTGTTGTTTATGCAAATTTTCGCGCGAAATCTTTTGTCAAATAATAAATTATTTTATATCACGTATACAACTGGATATATATATATACACATATATATGTTTATATACTGCCTGTAAATCGGTTGAGTTTTGGCTGCGCCAAATCAAAACAATGCGTAATTTGGTGTTTGCTGCTTGTAATTAATTCACTTCGAATTATTCAGCTCCCAGTGCTCCCCAGCTCCACCTGCGGCCTCAACTCTCTCCGTCTCCATTTGGGTGCACAAATTATCATCACTTAGGATGACAAATTCAATCGAATGAATCTGCTGCCGAATTTATGAGATTTCTGACATGAGAAAAAATAATTTAATTGCATTTTTGTGGTGGCGCCTATGGGCCTAGACATTATCACATATAAATATATATATATGTAAATTTATTTTTGGCGTCACGATGTGATTCCTTGATAATAAAATGAAGCCGCAGCCTTGAACTTAACTGCAATTGAAATTCCTTAAAGCTGAGCAAAAAGACTTGAAGATTAAAAGACCTCAAAATTCATTTCTCTTTCACGCGAACCGCTACTTTATTTAGATGGTAAGTTCGGTATCTATTTCACTCATGAAATCATTAATTAATATTCAATTTATTTAACACCTGCTGATAAGACCAAAGCTGAAAGCTCTACAAAATTTACGAGTCCAACTTCAGCGTATCAGATTGAATCAGCTCGCTGACGCGGTGCTTTGAACTTTGCGTCATTTTCTATAGGTTCTTCACTTAAATATCTGTACATACATATGTACATACATACGTTTATTTATATAGAATCGCCTTTTGTTAATTAAGTCCCACAGTTTAGCTGGCAATTTGTTATATTGTTCCCAATGCAGTTCGTATAACGCCTCGGGCAATATTTACAATGTGTTTTGTGTATTTTCCAAATTAATTTGTTAGCAAGAACAAATGTAGGGGGCCAACGGCGACAAATCATGCATCTTAATTGAAGCCATTAAACGTACACACACCGACTGCTACCCGGGAGTCATCCATCTATTTGAGCCGCTGGGCGGCAGTGGCTACCGATTTGCACAGCGTTTGCCAAAAACCCGCTTTATGGCTGGCTGGGCAATATTTATAGGCATTGCCCGGGCGCGAATATCTACAAATATTTTTTGAATATATAGAGCGAGTGATAATTAAACAAACTTAATTGAACCCCAAAACCGGCTCAAACACACACAAACACACACACACATACATACAAGCAAACACAAATCCCGCTGACATTCTTATTGGATGCAATGAATTCGAAAAACCCACGCCCAGAGTAATGGCAATTTATGGCCCAAGCCTCAATGCTCAACACTCACCGTATAAAGATTTCAATTGCTACACAAATGTCGTCTGACGTCCAAGCAGCAGGTGAAAATACGCATTTATCATAAGTGTTTGGCGAGGTGTTCAATATGGAACTCGAAAATGTTTGAACTCCATGGCAAACACAGTTAAGATCAGCTGCAGCAGAACTGCTTAATAAGTAAATCGTTATATGAGTTACTTGAAGAAATATTAAATATTTTAATTGTAGATTTTGTATAGTTTTATAGCTTCTTAATTAAAATATTTAAAATTCCATTTAAAATACCTTTATATATAAAAAAAAAGATATTTTAATAGCAATATTAACTTAATAATTTATAGTTTAATTATTAAATTAATTAAATTATTTTTATATAATTAATTAAATATTTATTTGGAAAAAATGCAACTAGATTTTCAGTCATCAAGAAATATTTATGTTGAATAAAACGGTATATAAGTCACTTTTGATTTCGCTGGTCTGGCAGCTTAAAAAGTGGACAACTACACAATACCCTGTAATTTATTTGAATGGCAATAGTCTTTAAAACAATTATTTAATTTTTTATAAATAAACCACATTAGCCATAGAGTCACTTAATATAATTTTAACTCCAATTTTTTGTGCAACTTTTTTCTTCAAGATTAACACCACAAAAACTTTCAAAAGATTAAACTTATAAGCAAATTCCACAGAAAGAATAAAAATAAGCGACAATTGAATAATAATGAACAATAAATATCCGACCGGACGTTTAGTGATTCAGAGTAAGAATCGTAATGTTAAACCTCGCATAGCCAGCAGCTATGTAGTTCGTGTTGTGACTTCTTACTGAATGCTCGTAGTACTTATAGCTAAGCGAGTCGAGTGCCGGCATATCAGCAGAGCCCAACATAATAATGTTCACACTGATATCGAGTTTCACTGTACTTGCAGTTCTGTGCAGCAGTTGCGCGGCCGACGAGATACTCTATTGCTACGAGTGCTACGAGAGCCCCGGCTCGGACTCTTGGTCAAATCCACTTCCTGTCTGCTCCAAGCTGAGAAAAACGCCCGAGTTTACAACACCCTGCCCCAACTCGACAATGTGCCAAAAGACAATGAGCACGATATACCTACAAAGCGGAGAGAAATGGGCGATCGAGCAGCGAGGCTGTGCAAATCAAGTTCAAATAGAAACAACACTAGTCGGTAGACAGTACGAGGACACTGCAGTCATAGGAGAGCCCTACGAAGAGGGCTGCACCCAGTTCGATTCATACAACATGCTGACATCCACCATCGAGCATTGCTTTTGCCGGCAAAACTTGTGCAATTCGGCGACTTATCGCGACCTCGGCGCCCCAACTTTAATCATATGTGTGTTGTTCCTGTTAGGCAAGCTACGATAAGTCGAACCTCTGGGCTTTGTCAGCTTAAATGGAAAAGATTATTAGTAGCATAGCAGAAAAGTCTCGTCAATTGCATTTAAGTATCTATAAGAACATACTGTTGTAGATAATAAAAACAATTCCGTTTCCAAGCCAAATGCATTAATGTTAGCTTTACAGTAAGTAGCTTTAAGAACTTCTAATTGAATAAAATCCATACTAATACGAGAAATTGTGAAATTGTAAAATACTTTCAGTCAGTCTTCATGTACATCAGGTTCAATGCCAAGTCTGAATCAGCGAGCTGGCATATAAAGTCAGAGCCTGGAGAGGCCGCATTCCCCATGGGCAATCAACAAATTGGACTTGTAATTGAGTAAAAGCAAGCATATTAAAATATTTATCAAGTATTTGTGATTTTTATGAATGCCATAATTATACTCACTATATAGTATAACAGTATGATTCAAGTGTCAAAAAACCGCAGCAGCAGCAGCAGCAACAGCAGCAGCAGCCACGCGACGTGACTCACAGTGTGCGGGATTTGGGGAGCTGGCACTTGGTGTTCGGGTACGGAACGGAACGGAACGTCTCGGACTGTATCTCATCGGATCGGATCAGATCGATTTGGCTGAGCGGGCGGGTTCATCGTACGACCTTTGCAGTGCAGTGACGCCTCTGACGCCGCTCTGCCTTGTCCCAGCATCGCCCACCTTTTCAGGATAGTCGCTGCGGCTGCTTAATCACTGTTTATGTTTATTGTCGCTATTAATCCGCATAATAAAAGATATGCTTGGCAACGGCAGCTGCAGCCCCGTTTGGGGCTAGCTATCAAAACACCGTTAAGCTAAGCTAAGGACACATACCACACCATCGTCGTCGCCTCACCCCGCCATCCCCGTCGCATACCCCGTCGGCCGGTCGATGTCAACGTTTGCGTATGCAATTAAAATCAATTTTGTCAACATTTCTCTTCAACGTCTGTTGCTCATTGCGTATTTCAATTCCGGTTATATATATTCTCATATCCATATGCTGCGTTACCAAGCCCCATGCCCCCAAGCCCCTCGAGCCTCTGCCCCAGCCCCAGCCGCAGTCCCAACCTCAGCGCTGACTTGGGCGAAATTAATGCATTTCGCATTGCGGCAGGCGCGCGTAATATCTGAATGTTGTTGTTGTTGCTGGAGTATTTCCGTTGTTTTTGGTTAATTTATGATTTCATTACGGCACTTTTATGGCGCTTCCGAGTGCCTCAGGTAGTTGGCTTGGATACGATCAGCCAAGACGATGTTGTCATCGGCCCAACTCCGAATCTTTGGGACTGCACCAACTACAAGAATGTGATAAACAATATGCGCAAGTCCCGCTACATTTCATCAAGAGCGTTTCACAGTGATGAGCTGTAAAATATCCTATAACCATGTGGAAGTTAGTCTAATTATGCATACAATGATCATTATGATAATAAATGCTAAGGCAATACAGGAATTAAAGATAATAATGTGTATACATTATATACATATTTGTATGTAAATTTAGTATATTTTTATTATGATAATGGATAATAGAGAAATTAAGAATATTATAAAGAGGGAAGTTTTAGTAATAAGTAATAATAATTAATAAATTATTATTATCTTAAGCATTTGAATAATACTAATAATAATGGTAATCATAAATGTTAATGATATTAATAATGATAATGAAACGCATAATAGAACTGAGATTAATAAAAGTTGTAATTTTATATTTGTAATATTGATAAGATATTGAATAAATTCAAGCAAGGTATTTAAAAAGGAGTCGAATATTAAATATTTATATTTTCTTTACATACACTTACATATACATACGTATAAGAAATGAGATTTCTGACTGCAAATACCTGTTTAATAAACACATATTTATCAATTTACTTTGATATATATATATACCACATGAGATATAGATATTTCATTAGATTATTTATCAAAAAATTTATTACTCAAATCATAAATTTGTTTAGCTGTTAACAAGATCTGGCAATATATTGTAATATAATTCACAGCGAATGAATGAGCATTCATTGTTTTCAACAATGTGTTAATGCATTTAATAAGACGCACAAAATACAAAATAATGGCAAAGTTTTACAGACTAAATAACATTTATACAAATATATACAATATAACATACCTATATATAATATTATATTTCAATATATATATTTGTATTATTTTTCTTTTTGTGAATCTGACCTTTGTTTATCAGCAATTAAATTAATTTTGATAATGATTCGCTGCTGGTGCTACTCTCAAAATATTCGAAAGAAACCGAATGACGATTCGCCCTGGGGGAAATTTGGTTCGCATTTAAATGAAAAATAAAATGCGTCATTTCGTGACTTGGAATCCTTGATTAATTCTTAGATGAGCTGTTAAATGGAAGTTACGGCCATAAATGGTTTATGAATAACTGTTAAATGCCAAAGGTGCATTCGCATTTGGGGTAATAAATTAGACGAATTATTTAATTGAATTAATTCCTAATTACAATTATTAGCAAATTGAGTAGCAGTTTAATAAAGCACACACTTAATTTCAGCGATTGCCAAAAATAACCACAAACAAAAAAATACAATTTAACAAAAACAATAAATACAATATACAAATTAATATCAACAACAACAATAACAACAGCAAGACGCACCCGTCATGTGTCTAAATCAAAGGGAGAGCAGCTCAAGACATCGCTGTTATTGAACTGAACTGAGATGAACTGCCTGAGCAAAGCAGCGAATCTTTATCTGTATTTGTATCTGTATCTCTGCTGCTGCTGCTGCCTCCGCTGCTGCGTCTGCGTCGGCGTTCGCTCTCAAATCGAGGAGCAAATGAGGCTAACTACCTCTCCCAGACAAGCGAGAATTTAGGCGCGTCGGTGAGAATCAGATGGCGAGATGCGCTCGCAACGCACTTGGCACATTTCTATATAAATCCGGTGTAGCTCAGCGAAACCCAAACATTCCTGTTGCAGCAGCAGTAGCGTCAAGCACACACAGGACTAACCGAGTACAATCGCCAAGGATCAGAGCAGCATCGACAATACTCGAGAACTCAATTTCAATTTGCAAAATGTTCGCGAAATCAGTGCTAAGCGTTTGTGTGATTGTGGTGAGTAAAGTGAGGAAGAGGATCAATTCAATCAGTCCCAAAAATATTGTGATCAGTGCTAAATGAAGTGGATACGAGTTCGGGATGATATAATGCATACGCCACTGGGGCGCCTAACTCAATTAGTATACCTATATATATCTCTCTATATATATAGAGTATACAGTGAGAGAGGGAGAGAGAGAGAGAGAGAGAGAGCTGGTTATAAATATTCTGAAGTTCGTGCCAAGTCAGTTAAAGCTCAAACTCAGGGCTATGCAGGCGTTGCTTTGCTTTGCAGCCGAGTCAAAGTCGAATCTTCCACGGCCTTATTAATGGCATTTGGAGCTGTCATAAAACACTTCATAAACAACAAACATCACATAACGTTTTGTGAGGCTCCTCTGAGCGTGCTTTTTTGGCATTTATTGTGTCAATTCGCTGTCTTGTGTTGTTGTTGTTGTCGTTTTCTTACATTTTACACTTCCGGCCGGCTAATTGAACTGTGAATAAGGCCTGGGAGTTGGCGCGTTCATTTGATATGCCAAATTCCACAGCTCGTAAATAATGAAACACGAAATTGATTTTCATTCTCTTTACAGGGCCTTGTTGCAGTTGGTAGCAGCAACCCCGTTGATAACAATGGCAAGTATACGGTTTCGACCGAAAGATCTAACGACGGCAAATATCGTGCGTATGATGATGGACGGTATCATCCGAGTCCCGCGGACGAAGGTATTTTTGAAGGCATTTGCTAATTTGATACCACAAACTGTTGCATGATGATCCAGCCACCGCAATGCATGTTGAAGCCACCTGACTTAATAACAACAACAAACCCAACAACAACAACAACAACAATAACTAACACAAAAATAACACACACACTTATCTTAAGTATTGTACTCACTGATAACCCAATTGATTTATTCAAATCGTGATAATAACAAAGTTCAAGCTCAAGCCATAAATTCGTCTGGTTTCGGTAAACACAGAGCACTCAAAATCTATAATCTTTGGTCCTACCGATCGAGCTGGCTTTATTGCATCGCACATTAATTCATTGTATTATATACTTCTAGCATAAACTTGTATGTGTATATGTATATCAATTAACATTTAATTTCTTATAGGCCGAGGTGGTAATCCAGATTCTTTAGGTAAACATAACAAAGGTTTTTAACTGAGAAAACATTTAGTTTTCTTGACAAATTACACACTCATCACAGAAACATTTATTTAAAAAAAAATAAGCAAAAAACTATAAATAATATAGGATTTTATCATAATTCTTCTTCAATTTATCATAATTATAAGCAAGCGTGGAAGAGGCAAAGTTTAGCACTTCCTTGTATGCATGTTATCAACGATCTTAAAATGTCGTTGCTAAATTGCTTTCTTGCTTTATAAATTGTACAAAACAAAACAAAACAAAACAAAAACAAACACATTATAAATATTTTCAATTATTCGGACATTTATTTTATGGTTTAACCTATATTGTATATAAATATTTGTAGATATACTATAAATAGAATTCAATGAACTCCTATACAAAAAGCGAGTTCAAGCACACTCAAAAACACATACACACACTCGCACACATACAACCTATAACTTAACACTCATTTCTAAGTGCATTTGAATTCGCTTTTCATCCTTAGCTGGCCGCTATCATCACGATGTGCAGCCTTATCGCCATGTGAGTGATAACCGTGAACTTGGCAAATATCACCATATACCCTATCCATACGACGGTGGCTATGGACCATATTCGGGTCTCAATCGCCCCTATGTGCACGATGCCAGACCTTACAAGTAAGTCCAAGCTTCAAACAAGAGAGTCGCTCCTCTAATGCTATATATATCTTTATCTTCCGCAGCCACGATCTG